CTTACCCCCCTCATCTTTCTTTCGTCCAGCCTTTGATGACCCCATAATCACCTTAATCAGTCGTGATTTCTGAATCATATTTAGTGGGTATAAACTTCAGGTCATGGTTAAATGTTATGTACATTATATTTTTGTGCGCGCGTAATAACTCGAGCGTTCGCGTGCGTCAAAATTAATGTATGCTTTATATCATGTCTTTTTTTAAATCAGTTATAGCTCCTTAGGATGAAAGGTGACCCCTAACTTTTATTACATATTCTGAAAGCACATGAGCTGTAGATGTGATTTTATATATCATAATAGCTGATCGGACATTGTGACGTCATCATATTGCCATCTGAATTTAAAAACAAGAAAAAAATTATATTTCTTTTTTCAAAACGTTGACGATGTCATATCATCTTAACCATTCATCATTTCTGAATAATATCAAATGGGCTTATACTTCAGGTCAAGGTGTAATGTTAGGTATCTTACTTTTTTGTTTGCGCGTCTTAACGTGTGCGTACGCGTGCGTCAAATATTACATATGCTTAAAATTATGCCTATTTATAATCAAATATAGCACCTTAGGATGAAAGGTGACCCCCAATTTTTATTACATATTTTAAAAGCACATGAGTTGTAGATATGATTTTATATATCATAATAGCTGATCGGACATTGTGACGTCACCATATTGCCATCCTGAAGTAAAAATAACTGAATTTTTATATGATAAATACTATGAATGATAATTACTCCTTCACCAACAGGCGTTTGTCAATGAAAGTTGATACATATATATCTCATATCAAAAGACGACAGTGACATTAAGATGCGCACGTGCGTCATGACGTGCGCATACACATGAGTAAATCTTTTAAAATGCTCAAAATTCTTTTTTAACAAACTAAATTAGCGTATTTTGCCAATATCAGCATTTAATTATTGTTCAATCCGCCACGCGCACACTTCTTCGTGGGTCAAAGTGCGGCGGATCACCTAACTCGTCCTCAGTGACGAGTTCAAATCTAGTTCTTCTTTCTTTCTCCCTTTTCTGTTCTCACGATATCTCAAAAAATGCCACGAGTTACGCACAATCGCTGTCAGCAAACATTTGGCTTGGTCTGGAATAGTCATGGTAAGCTTTTCAACGCGCTCAGTCATGCGTGACGTCATCTACGTGCAATTTTGCGTTTTTACATTATCGATCATATCAGCCTAACCAATTGCCATTTCGAAATCGTATTAAGTGAGCATTAACTTCGGGTTAATGTTGAATGTACTGTACCCTAATTTTACAGTGCTTCATAATGCGCGCGCACGCGTGCGTCAAAATTTTAAAATGCTCAAAATCACTTTTTAACTAAATTAGAGCACGTTTTAGGCCATTTTGAGCATTTCAATTTTTTTTTAAATTTTCCACTACGCGCGCGCATTTTTACGCGCGCAGCACATACGAAAGCTAGACACTATGTTTTTTCACATATTTTGGGTTCCTGACATTGTTTTCACAAACTTCCATTCTTTTCATATGCATAAAACCATGAATATTTTTAATCACTTATAGCTCCATAGGATGAAAGGTGACCCCCAATTTTTATTACATATTCTGAAAGCACATGAGTTGTAGATACGATTTCATAGATCATATTGGCTGATCGGACATTGTGACGTCATCATATTTCCAATTGAATTTTTATTTATGACGTTATTAATTTTTAAACGCGTTTGAACGTACTCGTTTATCTTGATTGATTGTCTCCCACCTGTGAGTATGTTATAGCTAAATCAATTCTCTTTCGGACGCGTCCCTTTATTTTTTATTTTGATGACGTCATCATGGTCAAAATGAATGCTTTTTTTGGAGCCTTCCCATCTTTCTTTCTTAAAAGATGTAAACATATTGAAAATAGAGGGCGGCAAACTGTATTTCGACACTATCAGACCGATAGTTCGTATACTGTAAAGGCAAAATTCGTGTGGCATTACCAACCAACAGGGGGTTTTAAATTAAACTTGACAAGGTTTAAATTCATGTGCCATTACCGTCGTCGTATAAGGTATTCGTACTTGTGCGTTAAAATTTTAAAATTGTTAATATCACTTTTCAGATAATTTAAAGCACGTTTCAGGTCATTTTGAATATTCCAAAACTTTCCAAAATTTACGCGCCGTACGCTCATTTCCACGCCCACAGCACGTACTGAAGCTGGAAATTACGTTTCCGTTACATGTGTTGGGTTTGTGACACTGTATTAGTATCATTACAGTGCGCACGGACGTTAAGACGTATGTGTACACAATCGTAAGTCATTAAAATGCTTAAAATTACTCTTTTAAAAATCTAATTAGAGCATGTTTTAGCATATAATAATTTTCAATCAGAACCGCGCATGCTTCGTAAGGGTCAAAGTACGGCGGATCACCAAACTCGTCCTCAGTGACGAGTTCAAATCTAGTTCTTGATTGATTGTCTCCCACCTGTGAGTATGTTATAGCTAAATCAATTCTCTTGAAGACATGTCCTTTTATTTTTCATTTTGATCACGTCAACATGGTGAAAAAGAATGAATTTTTGGAGCCCTTTTATCTCTCATTCTTAAAAGATGTAAAACAATAGAAAAGAGTGAGGGCCGCAGACTGTATTTCGACGCTATCAGACTAATATATATAGGTTATGTGAAGGGAAAGTTCGTGTGGCATTACCAACTAACAGGCGGTTTTAAATACACTTGACAATGTTTAATTTCGTGTGCTATTACTGTAGACGCACACATGGTGACGTGCGTGTCTGTTAACATTAGAAAATTCTCCATATTACTATTCAGATAGTTTAAAGAACGTTTCGGGTCATTTTCAGCATTTCAAAACTTTCCATAATTTATCCGCCGTACGTTCATTTCCACGCACACAGCAAATATTAAAGCTGGAAATCACGTTTTGTTACATACTTTGTGTTCCTGATAAGTTATTCATATCAGGAGTCACTCTTTGTGCTATTACCGTGCTCACGGGCGTCAAGACGTACGTGTACACATGCGGAAATTTTTTTAAATGCTCAAAATTATTCTTTAAAAAAAAACTAATTACAGCATATTTAAGCATATTATGACACTTTTCAATCAGCACCGCGTGATCTTAATGAGAGTCAAAGTGCGGCGGATCACCTAACTCGTCCTCAGTGACGAGTTCAAATCTAGTCTTATTCTTCTTTCTTTCTCCCCTTTTCTGTTCGCACGATATCTCAAAAAATACCACGAGTTACGCACAATCGCTATCAACAAACATTTGGCTTGGTCTGGAATAGGCATGGTACGCTTTTCAACGCGCTCAGTCATGCGTGACGTCATCTACGCGCAATTTTGCGTTTTTACATTATCGATCATATCAGCCTAACCAATTGCCATTTCGAAATCGTATTAAGTGAGCATTAACTTCAGGTTAATGTTGGATGTACAGTACCTTAATTTTATGCGTGCGCTTCAGTACGCGTGCGTCAAACTTTTAAAATGTTCAAAATCACTTTTTGACTAAATTAGAGCACGTTTCAGGAAATTTTGAGCATTTCGAAATTTTTAAAAATTTTCCACTACGCGCACACATTTTTACGCGCGCAGCACGTACAGAAGCTAGTCATTATGTTTTTTCACATAGTTTGGATTCCTGACATTGTTTTCACAAATTCCCATTCTTTTTTATCATCTTATGGCCAATAGCAATGCCGTACGTGCGCATCTTTGCGCGGATTTGTGCCGATATACAGTGAAAATATGCTAAAATCAGACCTATTTTTAATCAGTTATAGCTCCTTAGGATGAAAGGTGACCCCCATTTTTTATTACATATTCTGAAACCACATAAGTTGTAAATATGATTTTATAGATCATAATGGCTGATCGGACATTGTGACGTCATCATATTGGCATCTGAATTCAAAGAAAGTGAATTATAGCTATGACGTCATTTTTTAAAATACGCATTTGAGCGTATCTCGCTTATCCTTGATCGATCGTCTTCCAACTTTGAGTATGTTATAGCTGAGACAATTCTCTTTCATATATTTGACTTCTTTTTACATTTTTCATTTTGATCACGTCAGCATGGTCAAAAAGAATAAATTTTTAGAGCATTCTTATCTCTCATTCTTAAAAGATGTAAAAAATAGAACACAAGAGGGCGGCAGACTGTATTTCGACGCTATCAGACTTATATATACAGTATAGGCTATACGAAGGGAAAATTCCTGTGGCATTAAAAAATAACATACGGTTTTAAAAACACGACAATATTTAATTTCGTGTGCCATTACTGTACACGCACACATCGTGACGTGTGCGTATGTTAAAATTTGAAAATTCTCAATATCACTATTCAGATAGTTTAAACGTTTCGGGTCATTTTCTGCATTCCAAAACTTTCCATATTTACGCGCCATACGTTTATTTCCACGCACACAGAACGTACTGAAGCTTGAAATCA